CTATATCTTACCCTGCTTCCATAGTTTTTAATCAATTTCCTAATATAAGTACTTTTCGAAATAGAAAATCGTTCATTTGTCTCTCTTATATTATCATTTTCTTATTTCTTGAAGATATAATCTTTACATGGCTGACGCTGGACGCTTATTTTTGGCATTAAGACAGGTCATGTAATCAAAATAGACACTTGATATTCGTCAATTTTTACCACGAGTAAGAATATTCTTACATCGTGATCAAAATGTTAGAGTATATTCTTACATTGTAATTTTGACTACGTGATTTATTTCAACGCTAAGAATATGCGTCGAACGTCAGCATGAAATTAATACCTTAACAGCTAATATCTCTTTATCCTATTTGTTTATCTTCCCCATATTTATTTCTAATAAGACACAACAATCAGAAGTCTCGCTGATTGCTCACAATTAAATTGTCCGATATCGTCTGCCACCTCATTGTCCAACTATCCGAAACTGACCCACGAAAAAGCAATGTATGAAACAAGCAGCTTTATAAAACAAGAAAGATTTAAACTCACTATTTAAAGAATAATAGATGCTGTTTTGTATTGATGAACTAAAAATGAAATTCTACTTATACTTAGGCCCAGTTCCGCAACTCACAATTACCGATTCAACTTATTCCTCATCTCTTTCTTGAATATGACAATATAAACACAGAATAGAACAATTATATATAACGTCGTACAAGTTACATAAGTTATATACATGTTATATAAATATTATATATATTTTGTGTTTGCTGAATACATATAGATTCGAAATTAATTAATTGTAATTATATTATTGTATTAACTTATAATTAATACATTATTTTTGTAATAAAATTTTTTTAATAAAATATGCATCAAGCACCTATAATCGATAGTATTAACATATAGTAATTTTTAATATTGTAATTTTATAAGAATAAAAGTATACAATTGTTGGTCAAATTAATTATTTCAGTCTGCTTTGAATTTATTTTTTCATCCAATACTTCTATCCTTCCAATACTTTCAATTCAATTAAACACTCTGTTAGACACGCTACTTTATTTAATTTAAAGTTGTCGAAAATATTCTCTTGTGATTTAAGTTTTTGCAAAATTTATTAGAAGACCATGATACCAAAATTAGATTAAAAATTCAGAAATTGTCTTGGTTTATATATCATCACGTCTTCGGACAAATTCTTTAAAAAAGTTATTTATTTATAAATGTATGTTTGTGATCTAATAGATATTTTGACTTTACACACACACACACACACACACACACACACATACTTCTTTTCGCGTGCAATCTTTATATAAACATTTAATTTAATTTTCTAAAGACTATAATAGATTGAGCCTCATTTTTTAAAGAACGATCTTTTAATTTTTTCAAATGGCGTATCTGTTTAATTATCCTTGAATTCGTCATTCTTTTAAATCATCATTAATTTTATGTTCAAGTCCTAAGAAATGTGCTGCATTCTTCTCATATATTCTACTTTGCTATTGATCTTAGCCTTACCGAAAGGAATGGAAACATATGAGGTCTTGGATTCTTCTAGCATCTTGAAGATATCAGGTCACGATATATTTAGAGCACTACAGACAAATTATAAAAGTATAACAAAATAAATGAACAAGGAATCATGAATCCACATACTTTCGTATTTTTTTTCACACTATCATCCATCGTAAATTCTAACTGCACCCACTATTCGCGTGTCGCACGTATGTACGTGTTTCAGGGTGGGATCATGCGAGGAGCGTTCAGGATGGAGTGTAAAGACCAAGTCGAGCCCGATCTCGCGCGGTCGCTGGACGGCGACAGATGAGGACCTACTGCCGTCGGTCGGCGACGGTGTTAGACTAAAGTCCATCGATCACCCTTAAATCTTCGGCGAGGGCGAGATCGAGGTCTGTACGACGACGAGCCGTGAATCGCCTTGGCAACCAGCCGTCAAAACATTGTGTACATTAATAACGTCGACGAAACGCGATCGGGAGAGCCGTCCGGCCAGTCACTCGGTGCCCTGTGAATTATTCTACCCTGCGACGACGACCGCGACGACGTTGGACAATCGGCTGGGAACGATTGGAGAACGTCGGGTCCGCGACTGAGATGGTCTCCAGCGTGAAATCCGTTCGGTATCGTCATAATCCGGGATGTAGAAGCTGACGTCAACGAGAGTGCGACTCCATCGGGAACCAGCGCCTCCGGGTCGCTCCGAAGCATGAACGTAGGGAATCCCCGGATCATTTGTCTCGCGCTCACCGTCCTCGCCTTCTTCCAAAGAGGTCGGTAGACGATTAAGTGCCGAAGTAGTCGCGATCTTGCGAAAATAGGCAATCGCAATCTTTCTTAGTAACGAGATCTAAAGAGTGATATAAACGATGAACTATCTGCGAATCTCGCGTGAAGATCGATAATCGGATTGCACACATTGCTTTCGAGGACAAGTTGTTAACGCGCGACGTGTATAGTTCGTGCTGTTTTATATATAAAAATAGCTCGCTTGAGCTCCGAGACCACCTTATAGATCACTGAGATCTCTCCTCGACATAAAAATTCCCTGATGATATAAAAATTCTTTAATAGTCACTCCTTATCAATGGCAAGTGAAATTTTGATTCAAGAACAAAACGTTCAAACGAGAGATGTGAGATTGCTAAATTTTATTTATACCGCATTCTTAATTTCCTGATGATATAAAAATTCTTAAAGGGATGCTGAAGTGACCAAATTATCAATATTACTAATATATTACAATCGTAAAAAAATTTCCGAATTGACTAAATGGAATAAAAAATCCTTTACAGGATTAAAATGGATGCAAAATTAGGAGGTGGTGCAGTGGACTTAAATAAAATAAAAAAAAGTTAAAAACTTACTTAACTTTTTTTCGATTTTGTATAAAGTCCATTGCACCACCTTCTAATTTTGCGTCTACTTTAATTTTGTAAAAAGATTTTTGATTCCGCTCAGATTCGGAGATTTTTATATGACTATAATGTCAATAATTTGATTACTTCGCAGCATTCTGTTAACATTCGTTCCTTGCCATTGGCAAATGAAATTTTGTATCTAGAATAAAACGATCGAGCAAACGAGATGTCCCAAACAGGAGAGATGTTAGATTGTCATTTTATTTATCGCATTCTCATACCTAATTCCCTGATGATATAAAAATCCTTATCACCTGCTCCTTATCATTGGCAAGTGAATTTTGTATCTAGAACGAAACATTGGAGAGATGTTTCTGCAAATACGAAAGATGTCAGGTTGCCAAGTTTTATTTATCGCACTCTTTTTCGTTTCGCTTTACGAGTGCAACTTGCTTATTTCGCAGGGTGGGCCATCGACTGTTTCAAATGTGTCTCGATCGATGGCGACAACAAACCCTGCGATGACCCATTTCACAACAATGGGAGCCGCGCTTTCTTGGAGTCGCCCTGCTTAGGGGGTAGAAAAGGTCGGGATGGCCTCTTCCCAGCGACCGCTTGTCTCAAGATTGCCGGCGTGTATGGTAATAAACCCAAGTTACCGTGACATGATATACTATTTTTATTCATTTTTTCATATCTTTATTATGTTAAAATCGACCATCCTTTACAGAAATCTAATTTAATACTCAAAATAAGTAATTAATCACTTATACCTTCTAGAGTATTAAGTCTCTGTAAAAGGTGAGAATTTTATGTTGACTTAAATACATTAAACTGTATCTTAATCGACTTGAAAATTCATTGACTTTAACCCAATTTAATACTGGAAATTACTTATTTTGTATTAAATTAATTATTTTTATTATTTAATACCGGAAATTTGTTTCTTTTCTATTAAACTGCTTTTAATATCCAAAATAAATAATTAATGACTCTAAATTTTTGCAAGAAGTGAAAGTTTCGTCTTGACAAGTATATTAAATTGTATCTTAATTGACTTGACGGCTTAGATGAATCCGGTGTGACCTTGATGGTGAGGGGTTGCGCATTGGACAGCGGAACCCTGACAACGGATTCCGAGATTATCAGAATGTCCCACTGCGGTGGTTTCTACTTCGACGACAAGTAAGACGAACTATATAAAAACCGAAATGAAAGACCGGAAGTTGAAATTTATTATTTTTAAACATTCACGAATACCTCGTAGGTACGTGCGCGGATGTGTGCAATCTTGCAGCGATGCGGACGCGTGCAACGCGTCGTCGAGGAATCTCGCGCCGCTGATCGTCCTCGTGTTGCCGATTCTCGCGGGACTCGCGTGATCTACTTACACTCCGCCACGCGAATGCGATCAGACGTTTTTTCGAGAACTAGATGATTTGGGTTGCAAAATTCATTGTTAATGCTGAAAATCTATAGTACACGTTATGAGCATTACAGATTTTCAGCACTAGCAGTGAATGCTGGCCTCTCTCTCTCTCTCTCTCTCTCTCTCTCTCTCTCTCTCTCTCTCTCTCTCTCTAGAAGAGAGATCGACGGACGACATTGAGAGATTACAACAGCGAGCGCGTTGTAGTGGATATTAACGATGATCTTTCTCATTAAATCTTATAATACGATGCATTAAGCAGACCACATAGTGAATATACTGCCAGATTTTGATTAATAAGCTATAGTCTCTCTCGTTATTTTCAAGCAGCAATCCACGCGCCATTTACTCTAGCTATCACTGGTTATATGTGCGATACATTGATTGTAATTACAGCTTCATATTGCTTCATCAATAAAGCAGATTTTGAAATTGTTAAATGAACCCTCTTATTCTTTAGTCGGTATTCATAATCTGTTCTTATTTTAAAATCACTTAAATATCCAAAGTTAATTAATATGATTGGCTTATGACGTCTTAAAAATGTACATACTTATATACTTAAAACAATCTTAAATATAACAACCGACTATGAATACCAATACTTTGTTCTTTTTCTTGTAAGAAATATGCAGACAATTTCAGACAGCGCAATAAGCTCCATCGCTTTTTGTTTTATTCAAATTAACCACCTACTTCTCTAACTCTCTCTGTCTTTCTCTATTATTTTGAATGATTGACGCGACTGCTTCAGTTTTGATTCATGAAATTTTTATGGCAAAGTATAAATCTTAACAGCAATGACCGATCATGAAAAACCGAATATCCAGTATCTCCGATCAATTCGTAAATCTTTTGTGGCGAGCCGCTTGTTGGATCTGGGAGACCATCGAGCTCATCCTGATCATCATATTTGACTGTTTAGCGAGGCTAATTGAGCTAGTACTCGTGATGATGAAATTAATATTTCAGGTGACAATAATGCGCTTATACAGTAATTACATTTTAAATATATCGTGAATAAGATTGTATATCCAATATCCATCGATTCGAAACGAAGGTTAAACAGATAAAAATACCTTTTTAAAACTGGAATTAGAGACGCATTTTCTAATTCATTTCAAGTGATCGGAAATGTGCAATAAAAAGAATAGTATATATTCATATATACATCCTATTTGAAGAAAATCTATAAGAATATTAAATAACTAGATTTTTAGGTGATCTGCTTCGTCAGAGATTTGTGCATTGACGCGATGCAGACCTTCGCCAATGTTTTTCGAGGAATCGTTAATGTCATTAGCAACATCAGCTGCGATGACGTCGAGGACTTCGCTTCTGCCTGCATTGTCATTGCTTTGTGCACCGGGGCCGTTAAGATGTTCATGAATCTTCTTAAGAGGGTACATACTAAGTATCTCGCGATAATCATTGTTGTCAACAATGGCTGACGATTCAACCCGATAATCCGAAGGGTTAAGAGTCGCTCGCAAATTAGTAAACAATCGCACTTATCAGTTTTGAGCTCTACAGAAAGTACATAAAAAAAAATTGTTATTTTTATGTCTTATATCTGAGATACTCAAATTTTTAACGGTCCAAGTTTCAAAGAATATAATTCCATTTTATTTCCCAATCAAGGCCAAAACGGGATTTCTCGCACTTAAAAAAATAAATAAGAAAGGAAAAATCTTTTTTAAATTTTTTTTTACTTTGTTTATGTAACAATTATTAAAATTTTTTATAAGATAAAATATATCTTAACAGTACGTCTCGTTTTGACCGATACTGTTCTCCATTGCCATCACTATATTGTGCGATCGCTTGCAAATGTGGTACCCTGCTTTTTAGAATCGTCAAAGAAAGCGAAGTGCAGGTACTTTAAACTGTTCGTGCGCGTGTCTCGCAAGGAATACCGCTGCCGTCGGTGTGACATGGGAAAACTACGGTGCAAAAACCAGGTAAACTACTTTGTAGACTACTCTTGCGACTGATATTAATCGATCGAGATCTAGAGATCCGCGCGTTGTCGCATGGTGCATTATCTGGTTTTTGATCCGACAGAACGTCGCGTTAAACATTTATTTAATGCGGACGTTTTTAACGGCTCTTTTTGTTTATATTTTATGCATAAATGCAAAACTTACCCGACGGCGAGATTATCTCATCATAAGAGTTATCGGAATGCAGGGAAAATAGACTTATCGCTGCGATTTGAAGACTGCAAACTTGAAGATATGTACCGCGATTTTCGTACGTCAAAAAAACGACCATTCGCATTCGATGCTTTGACAAGTGCGATTGATTTCAATGTCATATCGATACTTTAGAATCCCCACACGAAGCTGTTCAATATGTTTGGGCAACACGTGACGCAAAGCGGCAATAATAACAATCCGACGGCGAGGAGTCACAGCCAGGATGCGTGTCTTCGCGAGAGGAAGACAGGCAGGAGGCCAAAGAAACGAAATAACAGGCGATATCGATCAACGTCATAAAAGAATAACTGATATGATTACGTAAGATTTTCTTTGTGAAGTACGAATATCTCTATAAGATATATTTACATAAACGTTTATTATATGTAACAATGTGTAAGGCGCATCTCAAATTTCGTCGTAAAATAGCATATATAATTTACGTCGTATTATGTACATAGTGAAGTATATATAAAAAATTTGTAACACTTTTTTACATACCGTTTTTCCATTGATATAACAATATGTCAAGTTAAACAATTTAACAAACGTTGTAGAAATTTTTCATGTATATAAGCATGCATCAATTTGTAAAAGAGAGACGTTGGAACGTTTATACATATAGAAAAATACATCACTTTTTTGTAAAAAAAAAAAAAAAAAAAAACCGCATCTGAAAACATGCGCAAATCTCTGCTTTCGCACATTGATGAATATTTAAATGCGTAGGATAACATTTATAAATTATAAAATCTTACGCTAGAGAGTCATGGGAAACGTCGTAGTTATAAATAAAAAGATTCGACCTACAATGAGGCTCGATAATACTTTCATTGTCCTATCTTTAACTTAAATATATTTAATCAGAGTGAAGAGTAGTCTTCGTGGATTGCATCATTGGATAGTTTAATCATTGATGATGGTGATGACTAAATTATGTTCCGGCCAAGAAAATGTCTTTGGCAATTGGATCTATAATAAGATATATTAAGCATATATAAAATATTCAGCAATCTCAACATCGATGTTCCGAAATAATTAAACAAGACTTCTTAAATGCATATCACCGTTTTAATAATCTTATCAAATTAAAGCAATCTCACACGTTGTTACCTTATCTGGAGCGTTCAAAACTTGAAACTCTTCGGCCATTTTC